AATTTGTAACAATTTATTTCAATTCAATTATTGCTTTACTTTAAATTTTTTCCATAATTTGAGTTTTTGTTTGCTTACAAGAAATTAAGACAGTTGCTAAGTAAGGTAGAAAACACTTTGTTATAACCCTTAAAACAAATTAGTTGAAAAACGGTACAAAGCCTGGAAAAAAATACCAAAAACGAAGTTTATTCAACACTAATGTATTCGAAACTTTGTAAAAAAACTAATTTCAATAGGAAAACTATTTTTTTTTCGAAAGTATTCTCAATGACTGAAATGGGCATCTATCAAATTTTAAAGCTAATTTTCTACAACAATGTACGAGTGTGGCGGAGTGATGATTTTGATGGTTATCTAATTAGTTTTCGTTGTACAGAAACACAATTGTTTTGATTGATCATTTTGTCATGAAATTGGAAAAGAGACTTGATAAAATAAAAATCTTGCCGAACTTATGAATAATGTTTTTTAGAGAGTAGAATATGATTAAGTGTTCAATCATTAAACAACAAATCAATGTTAAGGGTAAGTTCTGTCAAACAAAATTGAAGACCAGGAAAATCATGAAGCTATGAGTGAATCAATTCGATTGATCGATTTTAAGATTCCATATAAACAGTATTTTCAATAACCTGGAAAGTTTTGAAAAGTTATATCTGTGAATACTTCATTCTGATCAGTTAAAATCGAAAGAGATAAAATTTCCAGTATAAATAAAGCTCGATTTTAATAGATTTACTTCAAAACGTCTAAAACTTCAATAATAGGTAAGGCTCAGAAAGGATTGGTTTTACCGAAAGATTGAAAACTCTACGACAAGTAATCTTCGATTCTGACTGGTAACGCTCGGTTTTTTTGGTTGATATCTATTTTTTCTAAAATTCGATGTTGAAGAGAGCTCAATTCTGATTTTTGTTTTAGCTACATCAAATAGGATGAATTTCATTCTGATAATCTTTCACATTAAAAAAATTGATCAACTTTATTGTAAAACTCATTTTGCTTATCTCGAATCAATTTTTGGGGTTTTTCAAAACTAGTGTCAATTTCCCACTATAAATTTTGAGGATCCCTAAATATCACATTTTACGAAATGTGTTGAAATTTTTCGTTTCTCCTTGAGATATCGTTGTCTATTATAAACAAAAGAAATAAATGTTTTGAGTTTTGTAGTTGTTACCCACGTCTAAATGCATCATAAAATTGTAAAACCTGTAGATCTTTGAAAAACCCTAATTGTAATTTTCATACATATAGCAGCGAGGAACTGAATTTTCTAAAAAGATTCTTTCTTTTTGTCAAAATTATGCTTTACACGGTGAAGAAAAGCACGCTCAGCAGCATTCAAACACATTGCACATAAAATGAAATTGAAAAACACTGCTAAAAATATGATAATTAATTTTACTTCAACTGAAAAATTTTCCAGAAAAATTTAGAATTTCGTTAAAGTTGAAAAAATCTATAATAAAATTGCTTAGCAATTCGTAGGCTTTCTCTTATGCCTTTGTTCAAACGTTCTGATTGATTCTAAAAAACAAATCGAGCAACAATCGAGTTCAAATTGTCGTCAAACTCTCAATGAAAATTGATGAGAAAAACTTTCAATCCAATGTAGTAACTGCAATGTTAACAAGCTTTCTGGAACTCTTTTGTCTGAACTTGGCAGAAAAAGCTAATAATATAGGCTAAAGAGTGGATACGTCTTTGTTATGAAAAAAAGTACTGGACTGATATAAAAAAAATCGACTGATTGAACCGTTTTGCCTAGCTAATGTTTAGTTTATTTGGTACTTTAGTGCCTTTGACTGTGTTCATGGATTTCTGAGTTTTTAAGCGGATAAGTGGTGGCTTATATATCAAAAACGTTTTTTTTTACTGTTTGTTATAACTAACGTAGAAGAGACAATTTTGCCAGACATTGATTTTTTCCAGTTGAAATCATACGTCCTAAAAGTAAATTCTCTTCAAAATAAGAAGTTAAAGGTTAAAACAAGAATTACAGTTATCTGGTTCGGAATTTTTTTCTGAAATTCCGTAGCAAAATGGATTTTTGGTAATAACTTTGCTTTGAATTAATGTGCGATCATTGAAATGATTCGGTTTTCCATCTAAAAATCAATTTTTGAATGATCTTTTGTTCAAAAGGGATTCAATTGGAAGATAGTAAACCAAACGAAAACCTAAATGTTCTGGGTTGAAGGTTTTAGACAAACAAAATACAAAATCAATTTGATTCTTTTAGATCATTATGAAATCATTTAGGCATTTGCAAATCAATTTAGTTCAATTCAGGTTATAAGTTTTAGCCGAAAAGTTCCAACACAAAAACATTTCAAGTGCAGGCAATTTTCTGTAGTTTGATGCAAACTTTGTTGATGCGTTAAGTAACAGTATATGAGAAATTAGATGTTATAAGTATATTTTTTGAAAGTAACCCATTTTCGAATCAAAAATGTTTTTTTATTTGATACAGTTTCCCCTTTATTTATCTGAAAGTAGATCTGATGGAAGATAATAGATAAAGAATAAATCGAAAATCAGTTTTCAAGATCTACATATAGTTTATTTTATTTTAAAAACCTAATAATTGATTGTAGAAATATTTTTACAGAAAGTGATATTTAACAAAAGAGATTCGAAACTTGAGATTTTTGCACAAAAAACTGACCAACGGAAACTTACCATTCGAAGCTCTGAAGCTTTTCTTAACACATTAAGAAAACTTTTCCGTATCCTAATAAATAGGATTTTAAAATTTTCAGTTTAGAATTAAGCATTGCAGTACTAGCAAAATCGGGCGCCGAAAATTTTTTTCAAACTGATCATCTTACCATCGAAAACCCTCATCCATATAACCTATCTTGAACTTTTTGGGAAGTCTATTCCTTTTTTTGTAGCCGGATACTCTATAGGTGATCCTAAATCATGAAGATTCTCCAACTCCCCCCATTTTGCCCCGACATATACTACTCAAATATCTTTCACACATTCCTCCTTGTTGCTTTTGTTATTCGTTGCCAGGGAGAGCTCGGAATGAATCATGCCCCAGATTGGCTTTTTAGCAAGAGTTTGTTATCTCAAAAAGAGTTCGTTCAGGAACAAGAGGAGTTTTTGTACAACATTCTAAGTTTTCCTTTTTGAGAAGCAATAAATGGCTTTATATTTTTGCGGGAGCATTTTGAGCTTCTTTGCAACATCAACCGATCACTTACTTTTTTGCGTTACCTGTAAGAGAAAAAAATTGCACATAAGAACAATCTTCTCACTTAATAAACCAACTGAACAACCTCCCTCCTAAAATTAAATGAAAAATTTAAGCAGTAAGGCTGGACGCATTATGCTCAAATCTGATTAGATGAAACCCCCCTTGTGTTATTTTGAGATATCCAGTTTCGGCTGACTGACCCAAAATTACTAATTTTGAGGGGGAGCGCGCGCCAAAAAATCGTGATTTTTGGGTGAACATTTAATTCCAAAAAGTGCCTAAAAAGTTTTGGTCTGTTTTTTCAAAAAATTTGAATATAGCGTAAATATATTTGTCAAAATAGGGTCTTTACAGTGATTTGGGAGAGCTCACAATAGATAATTTTTTGAAAGTTCGTAGTAAACCCCCCCGAGAGAATCCTAGATCCACCCCTGTGGGACGTAGTAATGAGATATCATATTAGTGCCAAGTAACTTGCTTTGATTTCTATCAGAGGACTAAATATCAATCTCAATCCTAATTTTTTCTGATTAACTCCTTTCAACTGTGGCATGTGATATTCTGATGAAAACATTTTAAAAATACTTAAGAGAAATTTTTTTTTGAATTTTGGGATTACGAGGCCAAACTATGCATTTTAATAATTGTAAGCGGATTCCGCAACAAGGACGCTCCCTTTTTGTTCTTCTTGAGTTCTTTCAATTTCTTTGATCATTCTGACAAAATTTTCACATGTTTAAAGACTTTCTCTGGAATCCAGAAACATACAGACACAAAATTGTGCGCCTATCGAATATTTATGATAATTTAGAGCGAACCCGGGTTGACCAAAAATGCTTATCATAAAAATTTCATATATGAAAAAAGTATATCATACAATTTTGTACTATTCCATAAATACAAAAAAATTAAGAAAACTTTAAAATGAGCACTTTTTCATATATATGGAAATTGTAGGACAAGCATTTTTTCATAAATCGAAAAGTTGATTTTTTTAAAAAATTTTATTTCTCAAAATTTTTGGGATGTGTTCATGACCGAACACAAGTGACTAAAACCATGGTTTACTCAAAACTAGAGTCACCAAAGGGAACGACCTGAATTGTATCAGAGTTTTCTTGCACAAATGATATACCGAAAGCATCAAACTTTTAAATTTTGGCCAACATTTTCAAAGATGATTATTTTTAAAATTAGAATTTTCACATTATCAGACGATGATCATGGCATATATAAACATGCCATACAAAAGAAATAGGAGCTTATAGCCTGTTAGAAAAAAGTTATCCAGAGAAAGTTATCCATTCGATTTGCGGTTGAAAAAAAAATTTGGGCAATTTCAATTTTGGGCAATTTTGTCGCCATCAAAAAAATGCAAGTCATACAGTTTTCATTTATGGAAATTGTATGCTAACCAATTTTTTCTAAAAAAAAAAGGAAACACCGTTTTTTATCACCAGACTGTTTTATGTGGTTCAAATAGCCACAGAAACTTGTTCGAATCTTTTTTCAATGATTTTTTGAAATTGTATGAAAATTGTATGATAAGCATTTTTCCATACATTTGATGTATCGAGTTGTATGATAAGCATTTTCGGTGTATGAAAGTATAAATTAAGCATTTTTGGTTTATGGAGGTCAACCAACCCGGGAAGAGAATATAAGAGAACAATTTTGAGAAAGTTTGTTTGTTAGTTTTTCTTTTTTTTATGCGTAAGTGAATGTGTACAAAAGATTTTATTCTGCTTGGGTTGCAACCAGATCTTGTTACTGCTATGATATTTTTCAGTGGTCGAATACGAAGATGCCACGAACTCCAGTGGTATCGCAATTGGCATTACAATGACATTCACCCCAGGCACTCTGTACCGAGATGAGTCAGTGGTCTTTCAGCTGAACAGTGAAGGCTGGTTTTTCGACAATGGTTACACAGATGGCCAACCAGGATATGGACTGGAACAGGGAAGAGCTTACAGCTACCGACTGGAAGACAACATCGGCAGAGATATCACCGAAATCTTTTGCACTCGTAAGAAATGCATTTTTTAGTCTTAAGAGACGTATGTTGGCTTTTTTGTTCCAAGCAGTGTCCTTCTTTTTTGTGACAACCATCGTGTAGTTTTGATTGTGAGGGTTTTTTGAGCGTTCGCAGGACTGGGTGCTTGGCAAAATATTTTGGGCGGTTATGAACAAAAAAATCGCGGTTTTCCGACGTGCTATCCTTCCATCAAAACTGGTATATTAGTATCGAATGCGTCATAGAAACTTACATTGTTCAACCAGAAATGGCTTACGTTAACAGTACCAACGGTGATTGGGCACTTTGGAAAAATTAAGCAACAGAAGTGGGAGGAAGCAATAGGAAGTATGAGGTAGCTTTACAACTGTTCAAATATTGAACATTAAGAAATAACAGGTAGCTTTGCAGCTACTAAAATGGGTTTTGATTGCGACTAAAATAAATATGAGAGACAAGAAGAGCAATAGAAAGTAAAAAGATTGAAGGGTTCAAATATTGATCATTATTCAAATATTGATCAATATTGATCATTTTCCTGACAACCCGAGTCAAACCGCACAAAACTAAAAGTCAAACTGCGCAACGTTTTCAGACTGAAATTGTCTCTTCTTGTCTTGTCTTCGTTTATTACCAGACTGGCACTAAAAAGTTATCTTAGTCACTCCAAAAGTTTTTTTCAGTCGCGCCAACGATATATCTTAGCGGTGTGCCAAAAAAAAGGTTTTTGTCTTGGCAAAGGCCTATTAAAACCGCCTCAAAAAAAATTTGTCTTAATCCCACTAAAAACTTTTTTAAAAGTCGCGCCAACGTCATATGCTAGTCGTTTCAAGCATCTGTATTAGTCACGTCCAATTTATCTCTTAGCTACACCAAAAACTTTTTTTAGTCGCAGCAAAATCGTATTTTAGTCGAACCGAAAACGCTTTTTAGTAGCGCCAAAGGCTTATTTTCTTCAAATCTACGTCTTCTCTTGATCACGTCAAAATCTTACTTTAGTCGTGTCAAAGTCTATCTTAGTCACAAAAAAAACCTATTTAGTCGCGCCCAAGTATCATTTTGGTAGCGCTACTGTTTTATCCCAGTCGCTTCAACATCCTACCTATTTCAGTAGGGATACCGTGTTTTCTTAGTCGCACCAAAGGCCGATCTTAGTCCCACCGAAGCCTTTTCTTTTGTTTTTTGACAAAAGGAAGACTATATAAGCTCAAGGTCCTTCTTTAGTTGCGCTTACGTCTCATCCTAATTGTGCCAAAAAACTACTTTTTGGCGCAAACCATTGCGAGCCAAACTGTGCATTCTGTGCATTGTAAACGGATTCCGCAACAGGCAAAATCCGATTAGTCGCAGAATCCGCAACTTTGCTACTTTTCTTTGATCTTCGTTGCTGTTTTTAATTCCACAAACAAATACCTATAACATTGTGCCGCTCAAAATCGCTCCAAAAATAGGCGAATTTGCGGAATCCGCAACTGTGTTTGCGGATTCCAGAACAGTTTGTGGAATACACAAAAAAATTAATAATACATGTGTATAGTTACATTGAGCTGTTGTGGAATCCGCAACTGTAAGTGGAATCCGCAAATTGCCAGTGGAACCCGCAAATTGTAAGTGGCGTCCGAAATTGTAAGTGGAATCCGCATTTTGTTTGCGGATTCTACTTACATTTGCGGATTCCACTTATTTTTTGCGGATTCTTTCTACAATTTGCAGAATCCAGAACAACAAGCTATAATTGTTTTTTTTGCGGAATCCGCAACAAAACAATTCTGCCGACAAGATTTACGTTAAAAGTATATGTACGCGGAATCCACTTACATTTTGGAACATGTTTAAAAATTGGTCTGTGGAATCCAAGAACCTACAAACACAAAATTGTGCGCCTATACAGTGCACAGTTTGGCCTCGTAGTGATGTTCTATCCTAATCTCAAGCGAAAGTCTTATGGTACTTGCTCCATAAGCTTACCTTACCTGCATCGACGTCCTATCTTCGTCCTGCAAAAGTCTTTCAAGTCGTGTCCTCAGGTTTTTTTTCAAAATTGGCAACGAACGTAGCACAAAGTCTTTTTATAAGTTGCACCAAGGGAGTATCGCACCAGAATTTTATATAGTTCTTGCCAATTTGTTATTTTAGTTGCGCCAACAACTTAGTTTTGGTCAAGTCAAAACTGCGTTCAAGTCGCGCCAAAAACTTATATGAAAATTGTCAAAGGCTTACCTTAGTTAAACCGTTGTCTCAGTTTAGTCGCGCCATTTTTACAGACACACTAAAAACACTTTCGAACTAAAGTATTGTCTAAATCGCACAAACAATTTTCGTTATTAGCGCATTGTCTTATCTACGCGCAAGGGGATTCTTTAATCGCACTAAAGTTTTATAATAGTCGCGTTAAACAATATTTTTACTGCAAAAAAAAACACGTCAGAGGGACTGTATCAAAATCTGATTTCGAAACTTTTACGCAAAGATAATTGTGGTCAGTTAAACAACCATACGATAACTTATTTGCGCAAGAAAGCGAAAGTGATGACGGGACCATCATAAAAGTTTGAAGAATTTTTACTGCAAACTACTCAATTTAGCTGTCATGTATGAACAATGTTAAGCCCAAAAAAGGCCTAAAATTCTTTGTGGGGTTATGAAACACATGCTTCTATATATTCACATTCTAAAACAAAAATTTTCAGATCTGAAAATCAACTGATGAGGGAAAAAAGAATTTCAGATCTTGCACAGAAATTCCCCCGGGTACGGGCAGCCAACATGACATCGAGCATTTACATACTACAGTACAAGGCTTTACCTTTTTTATGACAAAAATTCTGTCGGAAAACCAAGACCGAAAAGTTGCGCACCGTTTTACGAGCAGAAAATGGTTACGCGTGTCTTTTTAGATTGACAGGATCCGAGGTCAAATGGGGATAAAGCTCCGCCTTCGGCAAACTTTTCACTAAACGAAAAAATTGTACTGAAAACTTCGTCGGCCAACTTAGAGGAACCAAGTGTTGTACTAAATACCCGCTGCTTAAAGCTGCAGGCAATTCTCTTACGTTTCCCAACCTGATTTTAGGCTAGCACTTACTTGGCTAGCTTGCGTACCAGGAGGGCTGGTGCGCGCTATTTTTTTCCCGGATGCATGGGAGCCCATTTTTCCTGTGCCGACAAAATGGGAGATTGTCTGATAAAAAAATGGACGGGGTAGTGGGACATGCGATGATGGTATCTGATGGTTACGTGAAACCACACAACAATTATTGATAGATGGATTCCAAAGCCGCTAACTCTCAATTAGCCGCTAACTTTTTTTAAATTGAGCAGCGGGCTGGTTTAAGAAAAGACCATGGCAGTGCAATTTATGGATATACTTTGGCGGAGCGACATAAGAAAAGAATTTCATGCGACTTTAAAAAGACTGGGTCGTGCCAGTTTTTTTTCTGTAATTGAAAATTTTTGGTCGTGCTGTTCGCGCTATTATCTTCGGTTGTCCCAGTTTTTTGGTCACGATTTTTTTTGGTCAAGCCTGTATGTGATTGTTAAAATTTTGAAGTTATGCCGGTCAGGAATTATTAAACTTGGGTGGCGCCGGTCTGATCTTTAGTTGCAGACCTCGACCCGTGGTTCTTTCTTGAATTTAAAAATTTTCTGATTTTGAGGTTAGGTCATGATGACTTCATTTTAGATCCTGCTCCTGCTTATGATCTGAGGACCACTATGTTGAATGAAACCCTTGCGCTCGTTGTGCACACCAGGATTCCTGCATCCCTTGCGAGTAGCTATTACATAGGATTGCTTGAGCTTGATAAATATTTCGACTTCTTCGAAGGTGCGTAATTATTTTAGTTTTGTTTATGAAGCAAGTACAACTTCTGAAAACAAAAACTATCGTTATTTTGCGCCCTTAAAACGGCCAACAAAATATTTTTCTTCAAAAGGTTTTATACTGTTTTTGCTTTTAATCAAATTTCTCATCCGAATAGCTCTCATTCAGCTCTCATCCGAATAGCTCTCATCCCTCGTATAGCAGCTCATAGAAATTTAAATGAATGAAAAGAAAGATATCGATATTTGCCATAATAAACTATGAAACTAGAATATTATTTTCAAAAAAAGGCTTTGCTTTTAATAAATTAGGAGTAAGTTTGAGGTTTTCAATTCATTTCCATTTTTCTTTTGTTATACCATTTTAGTCTTATGAAAGCCCGGTTGAGTTTTATGATTTACAATTGACAATATTCCGAGTATTAACAAATGTAATATCCGATTTGTTGGATGTTTTTAATTAATTAGAAGTATTTGCTGCACTTACAATTATTGTTCCGACTTTCGATACGAAAGTAATGGAATATTTGTGCTCGGGGTGGGTTTTTTTCTTCAGATAAATTTCGAATTTTTAACTAGCCATTTTTGACGGAATATTTTCATATCATTCGAAAGCTATTGTTGTCTTGAGTTCAAATTTGAAAAAATGTTTTACCTGTGATGTTTTTTCGTAAAGTTACGGGGGTTTACATATTGCCATTTTTGCCACTTTGGGACAATTAACGCGCGATATGTTTCGCGCTATTAACGCGTAGGCGGAGAATTATTCCGTCTTAGAAATCGTTCCAAATTGGTTGAAAGAAGCTTATTTGCCATAATTGATTTGTTAGAAGGAGCAAAATCTATCCTTATCTACTTTATATGGCGTGTGGGGGGATAATTTTCATTTAAAAAATTCAACTTTTAGAAGAAAAAAATTCATTTTGTTTTATTTCGTTTAATTTTATAATGTTACTACTGCTCCATAAACCTTAAAAGGCAGTCGGAACATTCAGGGTTTCGCCCTGATACGAGCAGTCTTGTCTAAATTCATTTTTGTTCCGACTTTCGTAACGAAAGTAGCGGAATAATTGTGCTCGGGGTAGGTTTTTTTTTCTTCAAACAAATTTCGACTTTTTAACTAGCCATTTTTGACGGAATTTTTTTATATCATTCAAAAAGTATTGTTGTCCTGAGCTAAAATTCAAATAAATGTTTCACTTTTAGACGTGCCCAATTGTAGCAAACAAAAGGTAGGCGAAAAAAGTAGGCTTGAAGCTGTTTCATTCAGAGAAATTATAACGTTCAACTATCTCTCACGTGACCAACTAATATCCCCAATTTATAGGTTTTCAATATTTTATTTTCTCAAAAACTATTCGCGATATGAATTAACGACAGTCGGAACATTCAGGGCTTTGCCCTGATATACGACCAGTCTTGATCTCGACCAAACCTCGCAGCTCTAATCTCGACCAACACTTTTTGGTCACATTTGAACAGGTATCCGTTTCTTATCCAAAAAATTTTCCATTCAATACGCTTTTCAGTTCTCCATACTTAAGATTTTTTTCTGTGCTTCTTGCTTATGAAAGAACCTCTTCATTTTGATACTGTCAACTATTATGGTTTGTTTGAACACTGTTTTTGTAGAGCTTGATCTTTGATAATACTTTGGCTGAGATTGAATCCAAATTAGATTTTATCACTGTAAAATGCAATCTTGTACAATAACAAAATCCTACAGTTTAATTGATTTCTCTAATCAGTAGTTTTTTTGCATCCAAAACTTAACGCAAGAAAAAGGGGACCCTTTAAGTCGGCCAAAAATGGATTTCTTAGAAAGTATGAGTATCAAAGGGGGACCCCTTTGATACTCATACTTTCTAAGAAATCCATTTTGGCCGACCGACTCTAAAACTTTAGAGGGTAAAAGGGGAGCGCGCGCCAAAAAAACGCGATTTTTTGTCATCGTTTTTCAGAAAGTGCCAAAAACGAGGCTTGTTTGACATGTTTTTTTTCAGAACTTTGCCTGCGGCCGACCTAAATCAGTTTGGTCGACCTAAAAAAATAAAGGTCGTCAATTTTTCGTGAAGATTCTAGATCCGCCTCTGTCTTTGATGAAATTGAAGTTGAAAGCCTCCTTCTTAAATTTTTAACACACTTTTTATTCTATTGTTCTTGTTTTTGTTAGTTTTTTTTCTTCTAAATCGAACTGCCCCAAAAAATTGCAATAAAGCAAAACTGTTTCTCAAAATAGGATCGTTTGTTGTTTTGGGAGATCTCTGTAGTTGCTTGAAATTCAAGTCTTCCGCAAAGGTCTCAGATCCCTCCTGTGTATGCTAATTGTGATTTAGAAGTATCACCCTAAAAATTTTTTTGTTTATTTTTTTGCATCAAGTTACCATCAAGTTTACTGGTTCAATGAAAAATACAGTTAATTCAATTGATTTTAAAATAAACCAACGGTTTTTAAAAATTTTCGGGAGCTTATCGTATGTGTTGAAGTTAGTGAAACTAGTTTTGAGAATGCCAATATATCAAAAGGTAGGAATTGTCTTCTTTTTCTACATGGTAAAAGAATAATCATTTTTTGTTTTCAGCTCTATTTTTTGTGATCTCTTTTGGATGCAATTGTTGGATGTCAATACCTCCAAATACTGCCGTACTATTAAGTTTTTTGGGTTTATTTTCTCCAAAAAACTGCATGCATAACAAAATTGTTCAGCAAAAAAGGCTCATTTAGTATTTGGGAAAGTCAAAAAATAGCAGATCCTCCCTTGTTTATATTATTTCATGGAGTTTCATATTGGTTTTAGCATTGTCAATTAAAATTACAATTTTGGTCGATGAAAACTAAAAAAAAAGAGCGGTGGAAAGCTTTTTGAGAACCTTATACTTTTTGAGCTATGAGAGTATACTTTTTAGATTGGATCTCTTTAACTATCTTTTCCCCCTTTGGTAGCTAATAACGAACTGCCTTCCCTATAACAAACTAATTCATCGGTTAAAATAATGGTTATTTGTACCCAGTAACGAATCCCCCCTTTGTTGCAAAAACTAAACTAATTCTAAAAGAAGAACAAGTTTACTTAATGTTCGAAAATTCCACATTTTTTGACGAGTATATATAATCATTTTTTGTTAAAAAGTTAAACCGATCTATTTAACAGTCTCTTCTCTTTTCAAGTTTCAAGAAAGGGGAGATTATTAAGCAAGTCAAATCATCAAAATTTTGACGAGAATGCTAATCTGCTGTTTTTTTATATGGGTGTGTATTCATTCGTAAATGCTTCTAATGAATAAATGTATTGTTGGTAGATCTATCTTTTTAGCAAAAACCAATATTTCTTTTCAAGTGCCTGGATACTATCAAATTCCTCCTTCGTTATTTTAGACAATCCCTCCAAACTTTCTACGGGAACCCAGGTGGCTGTCAACGTTAGTTTCACCAACTTAACTTTCGTCATAACACAAGCCCACATTTGCCCAAAAACGGAACCAGTGGAACAAAGGAGTGAATACGCTATCTCAAAATCCGATTAGTCGCAGAATCCGCAACTTTGCTACTTTTCTTTGATCTTCGTTGCTGTTTTTAATTCCACAAACAAATACCTATAACATTGTGCCGCTCAAAATCGCTCCAAAAATAGGCGAATTTGCGGAATCCGCAACAGTGTTTGCGGATTCCAGAACAGTTTGTGGAATACACAAAAAAATTAATAATACATGTGTATAGTTACATTGAGCTGTTGTGGAATCCGCAACTGTAAGTGGAATCCGCAAATTGCCAGTGGAACCCGCAAATTGTAAGTGGCGTCCGAAATTGTAAGTGGAATCCGCATTTTGTTTGCGGATTCTACTTACATTTGCGGATTCCACTTATTTTTTGCGGATTCTTTCTACAATTTGAAAAATTGTCTTCTTTTTCTACATGGTAAAAGAATAATCATTTTTTGTTTTCAGCTCTATTTTTTGTGATCTCTTTTGGATGCAATTGTTGGATGTCAATACCTCCAAATACTGCCGTACTATTAATTTTTTTGGGTTTTGTTTTCTCCAAAAAACTGCATGCATAACAAAATTGTTCAGCAAAAAAGGCTCATTTAGTATTTGGGAAAGTCAAAAAATAGCAGATCCTCCCTTGTTTATATTATTTCATGGAGTTTCATATTGGTTTTAGCATTGTCAATTAAAATTACAATTTTGGTCGATGAAAACTAAAAAAAAGAGCGGTGGAAAGCTTTTTGAGAACCTTATACTTTTTGAGCTATGAGAGTATACTTTTTAGAATGGATCTCTTTAACTATCTTTTCCCCCTTTGGTAGCTAATAACGAACTGCCTTCCCTATAACAAACTAATTCATCGGTTAAAATAATGGTTATTTGTACCCAGTAACGAATCCCCCCTTTGTTGCAAAAACTAAACTAATTCTAAAAGAAGAACAAGTTTACTTAATGTTCGAAAATTCCACATTTTTTGACGAGTATAAATAATCATTTTTTGTTAAAAAGTTAAACCGATCTATTTAACAGTCTCTTCTCTTTTCAAGTTTCAAGAAAGGGGAGATTATTAAGCAAGTCAAATCATCAAAATTTTGACGAGAATGCTAATCTGCTGTTTTTTATATGGGTGTGTATTCATTCGTAAATGCTTCTAATGAATAAATGTATTGTTGGTAGATCTATCTTTTTAACAAAAACCAAAATTTCTTTTCAAGTGCCTGGATACTATCAAATTCCTCCTTCGTTATTTTAGACAATCCCTCCAAACTTTCTACGGGAACCCAGGTGGCTGTCAACGTTAGTTTCACCAACTTAACTTTCGTCATAACACAAGCCCACATTTGCCCAAAAACGGAACCAGTGGAACAAAGGAGTGAATACGCTATCTCAAAATCCGATTAGTCGCAGAATCCGCAACTTTGCTACTTTTCTTTGATCTTCGTTGCTGTTTTTAATTCCACAAACAAATACCTATAACATTGTGCCGCTCAAAATCGCTCCAAAAATAGGCGAATTTGCGGAATCCGCAACTGTGTTTGCGGATTCCAGAACAGTTTGTGGAATACACAAAAAAATTAATAATACATGTGTATAGTTACATTGAGCTGTTGTGGAATCCGCAACTGTAAGTGGAATCCGCAAATTGCCAGTGGAGCCCGCAAATTGTAAGTGGAGTCCGAAATTGTAAGTGGAATCCGCATTTTGTTTGCGGATTCTACTTACATTTGCGGATTCCACTTATTTTTTGCGGATTCTTTCTACAATTTGCAGAATCCAGAACAACAAGCTATATTTGTTTTTTTGCGGAATCCGCAACAAAACAATTCTGCCGACAAGATTTACGTTAAAAGTATATGTACGCGGAATCCACTTACATTTTGGAACATGTTTAAAAATTGGTCTGTGGAATCCAAGAACCTACAAACACAAAACTGTGCGCCTATACAGTGCACAGTTTGGCCTCGTAGTGATGTTCTATCCTAATCTCACGCGAAAGTCTTATGGTACTTGCTCCATAAGCTTACCTTACCTGCATCGACGTCCTATCTTCGTCCTGCAAAAGTCTTTCAAGTCGTGTCCTCAGGTTTTTTTTCAAAATTGGCAACGAACGTAGCACAAAGTCTTTTTATAAGTTGCACCAAGGGAGTATCGCACCCGAATTTTATATAGTTCTTGCCAATTTGTTATTTTAGTTGCGCCAACAACTTAGTTTTGGTCAAGTCAAAACTGCGTTCAAGTCGCGCCAAAAACTTATATGAAAATTGTCAAAGGCTTACCTTAGTTAAACCGTTGTCTCAGTTTAGTCGCGCCATTTTTACAGACACACTAAAAACACTTTCGAACTAAAGTATTGTCTAAATCGCACAAACAATTTTCGTTATTAGCGCATTGTCTTATCTACGCGCAAGGGGATTCTTTAATCGCACTAAAGTTTTATAATAGTCGCGTTAAACAATATTTTTACTGCAAAAAAAACACGTCAGAGGGACTGTAGCAAAATCTGATTTCGAAACTTTTACGCAAAGATAATTGTGGTCAGTTAAACAACCATACGATAACTTATTTGCGCAAGAAAGCGAAAGTGATGACGGGACCATCATAAAAGTTTGAAGAATTTTTACTGCAAACTACTCAATTTAGCTGTCATGTATGAACAATGTTAAGCCCTACGTTTCCCAACCTGATTTTAGGCTAGCACTTACTTGGCTAGCTTGTGTACCAGGAGGGCTGGTGCGCGCTATTTTTTTCCCGGATGCATGGGAGCCCATTTTTTCCTGTGCCGACAAAAATGGGAGGTTGTCTGATAAAAAAAATGGACGGGGTAGCGGGACATGCGATGATGGTATCTGATGGTTACGTGGAACCACACAACAATTATTGAAAGATGGATTCTAAAGCCGCTAACTCTCAATTAGGCGCGGGGTGGTTTAAGAAAAGACCATGGCGGTGCGATTTATGGATATACTTTGGCGGAGCGCCCAAAGAAAAGACCTTCATGCGACTTAAAAACGACTGGGTCGTGCCAGTTTTTTTTCTGTAATTGAAAATTTTTGGTCGTGCTGTTCGCGCTATTATCTTCGGTTGTCCCAGTTTTTTGGTCACGATTTTTTTTGGTCAAGCCTGTATGTGATTGTTAAAATTTTGAAGTTATGCCGGTCCGGAATTATTAAACTTGGGTGGCGCCGGTCTGATCTTTAGTTGCAGACCTCGACCCGTGGTTCTTTCTTGAATTTAAAAATTTTCTGATTTTGAGGTTAGGTCATGATGACTTCATTTTAGATCCTGCTCCTGCTTATGATCTGAGGACCACTATGTTGAATGAAACCCTTGCGCTCGTTGTGCACACCAGGATTCCTGCATCCCTTGCGAGTGGCTATTACATAGGATTGCTTGAGCTTGATAAATATTTCGACTACTTCGATGGTGCGTAATTATTTTAGTTTTGTTTATGAAGCAAGTACAACTTCTGAAAACAAAAACTATCGTTATTTTGCGCCCTTAAAACGGCCAACAAAATATTTTTCTTCAAAAGGTTTTATACTGTTTTTGCTTTTAATCAAATTTCTCATCCGAATAGCTCTAAGTTGATTTTTTCCCTCGCATAGCAGCTCATAGAAATTTAAATGAATGAAAAGAAAGATATCGATATTTGCCATAATAAACTATGAAACTAGAATGTTATTTTCAAAAAAAGGCTTTGCTTTTAATAAATTAGGAGTAAGTTTGAGGTTTTCAATTCATTTCCATATTTCTTTTGTTATACCATTTTAGTCTTATGAAAGCCCGGTTGAGTTTTATGATTTACAATAGACGATATTCCGAGTATTAACAAATGTAATATCCGATTTGTTGGATGTTTTTAATTAGTTAGAAGTATTTGCTGCACTTACAATTATTGTTCCGACTTTCGATACGAAAGTAATGGAATATTTGTGCTCGGGGTGGGTTTTTTTTCTTCAGATAAATTTCGACTTTTTAACTAGCCATTTTTGACGGAATATTTTCATATCATTCAAAAGTTATTGTTGTCCTTAGTTCAAATTTGAAAAAATATTTTACCTGTGATGTTTTTTCGTAAAGTAACGGGGGTTTACATATTGCCATTTTTGCCAATTTGGGACAATTAACGCGCGATATATTTCGCGCTATTAACGCGTAGGCGGGGAATTATTCCGTCTTAGAAATCGTTCCAAATTGGTTGAAAGAAGCTTATTTGCCATAATTGATTTGTTAGAAGGAGCAAAATCTATCCTTATTTACTTTATATGGCGTGTGGGGGGATAATTTTCATTTAAAAAATTCAACTTTTAGAATGAAAAAATTCATTTTTTTTTATTTCGTTTAATTTTATAATGTTACTACTGCTCCATAAACCTTAAAAGGCAGTCGGAACATTCAGGCTTTCGCCCTGATACGAGCAGTCTTGTCTAAATTCATTTTTGTTCCGACTTTCGTAACGAAAGTAGCGGAATAATTGTGCTCGGGGTAGGTTTTTTTTTCTTCAAACAAATTTCGACTTTTTAACTAGCCATTTTTGACGGAATTTTTTTATATCATTCAAAAAGTATTGTTGTCCTGAGCTAAAATTCGAATAAATGTTTCACTTTTAGACGTGACCAATTGTAGCAAACAAAAGGTAGGCGAAAAAAGTAGGCTTGAAGCTGTTTCATTCAGAGAAATTATAACGTTCAACTATCTCTCACGTGACCAACTAATATCCCCAATTTATAGGTTTTCAATATTTTATTTTCTCAAAAACTATTCGCGATATGAATTAACGACAGTCGGAACATTCAGGGCTTTGCCCTGATATACGAGCAGTCTTGATCTCGACCAAACCTCGCAGCTCTAATCTTGACCAACACTTTTTGGTCACATTTGAACAGGTATCCGTTTCTTATCCAAAAAATTTTCCATTCAATACGCTTTTCAGTTCTCCATACTTAAGATTTTTTTCTATGCTTCTTGCTTATGAAAGAACCTCTTGATTTTGATACTGTCAACTATTATGGTTTGTTTGAACACTGTTTTTGTAGAGCTTGATCTTTGATAATACTTTGGCTGAGATTGAATCCAAATTAGATTTTATCACTGTAAACTGCAATCTTGTACAATAACAAAATCCTACAGTTTAATTGATTTCTCTAATCAGTAGTTTTTTGCATCCAAACTTAACGCAAGAAAAAAGGGGACCCTTTAAGTCGGCCAAAAATGGATTTCTTAGAAAGTATGAGTATCAAAGGGGGACCCCTTTGATACTCATACTTTCTAAGAAATCCATTTTGGCCGACCGACCCTAAAACTTTAGAGGGTAAAAGGGGAGCGCGCGCCAAAAAAACGCGATTTTTTTTGTCAAAGTTTTTCAGAAAGTGCCAAAAACGAGGCATGTTTGACATGTTTTTTTTCAGAAGTTTGCCTGCGGCCGACCTAAATCAGTTTGGTCGACCTAAAAAAATAAAGGTCGTCAATTTTTCGTGAAGATTCTAGATCCGCCTCTGTCTTTGATGAAATTGAAGTTGAAAGCCTCCTTCTTAAATTTTTAACACATTTTTTATTCTATTGTTCTTGTTTTTGTTAGTTTTTTTTCTTCTAAATCGAACTGCCCCAAAAAGTTGCAATAAAGCAAAACTGTTTCTCAAAATAGGATCGCTTGTTGTTTTGGGAGATCTCTGTAGTTGCTTGAAATTCAAGTCTTCCGCAAAGGTCTCAGATCCCTCCTGTGTATGCTAATTGTGATTTAGAAGTATCACCCTAAAAAGTTTTGTGTTAATTTTTTTGCATCAAATTACCATCAAGTTTACTGGTTCAATGAAACATACAGTTAATTCAATTGATTTTAAAATAAACCAACGGTTTTTAAAAATTTTCGGGAGCTTATCGTATGTGTTGAAATTAGTGAAACTAGTTTTGAGAATGCCAATATATCAAAAGGTAGGAATTGTCTTCTTTTTCTACATGGTAAAAGAATAATCATTTTTTGTTTTCTGCACTATTTTTTGTGACCTCTTTTGGATGCAATTGTTGGATGTCAATACCTCCAAATACTGCCGTACTATTAAGTTTTTTGGGTTTATTTTCTCCAAAAAACTGCATGCATAACAAAACTGTTCAGCAATAAAGGCTCATTTAGTATTTGGGAAAGTCAAAAAATAGCAGATCCTCCCTTGTTTATATTATTTCATGGAGTTTCATATTGGTTTTAGCATTGTCAATTAAAATTACAATTTTGATCGATGAAAACTAAAAAAAGAGCGGTGGAAAGCTTTTTGAGAACCTTATACTTTTTGAGCTATGAGAGTATACTTTTTAGAATGGATCTCTTTAACTATCCTTTCCCCCTTTGGTAGCTAATAACGAACTGCCTTCCCTATAACAAACTAATTCATCGGTTAAAATAATGGTTATTTGCACCTAGTAACGAATCCCCCCTTTGTTGCAAAAACTAAACTAATTCTAAAAGAAGAACAAGTTTACTTAATGTTCGAAGATTCCACATTTTTTGAGGAGTATATATAATCATTTTTTGTTAAAAAGTTAAACCGATCTATTTAACAGTCTCTTCTCTTTTCAAGTTTCAAGAAAGGGGAGATTATTAAGCAAGTCAAATCATCAAAATTTTGACGAGAATGCTAATCTGCTGTTTTTTATATGGGTGTGTATTCATTCGTAAATGCTTCTAATGAATAAATGTATTGTTGGTAGATCTATCTTTTTAACAAAAACCAATATTTCTTTTCAAGTGCCTGGATACTATCAAATTCCTCCTTCGTTGTTTTAGACAATCCCTTCAAACTTTCTGTAGGAACCCAGGTGCCTGTCAACGTTAGTTTCACCAACTTAACTTTCGTCATAACACAAGCCCACATTTGCCCAAAAACGGAACCAGTGGAACAAAGGAGTGAATACGCTATCTCAAACACGATCCGAACACGTTAGTTGCTTATACTATTGAAATAGCATGAAAGCAAAAAAGGACAAATGACCGGGTTGCCCTCTATGCAAGAAAAATAATTTTCATACAACTTCAAACTAGAAAACTGATTGTTATGCCATTTTATTCACTTAGTGTATGGACAATTGCTATTGGTCTAGTTTCCCCATTGAAAATTGAATCGTTAGCAATTTCTACATAATTGCTACAAAAATAATTTATCTTTTTCTAGAGCAGGGGCGGATCTAGGATTATCTCGAAAAAAGGGGGGGCTGGTGTCATTTTTTCAAAAAAAGTTTCGAAATTTTAGTCGACCATTTTTAGGTCAACCAAATTTTCAAAATGGTCTCAGTACACTATAAAACCCTATTTTGCCAAACATTAGCGAAGCAGGCAAGTTTTTGAAAAAAAAATAGTTCAGAAATTTATATATATATATATATATATATATATAATAGAAAAATTTTAGGGTTGATCGGCCCAAATTGGATGTCATTAAATAATCCCAAAGGGCGGCTATTGGTTGTTGAGGGGGTCAAATTCCCTAAATCTGCCCCTGATCTTAAGTAAAATTTTCCAATTTCAGGGGAAACACTTTTTTCTTCTTTTTGAAAAATTTGCATAGAAGAAAACGCCCAATGTTGTCAACTGAAAACGCCCAATGTTGTCAACGTAGTCCAAACTGAATTTTTGATTCGAATGGATTACAATGTTATGATATCCTGATTAGAACCAGATATAGATTTAGTTTCTCGAAAGTTTCATGTCGAGACGGTTTTATAGGAAAAAATTCAAAAGTTTAGTGTTATATCAAAAAACAAATTCTGGGCTTAGCTGAAATGCAAAGTTTTTGTAGGGTCGTGATTCCAAGGTTTTTAAAAAAATTCTAAACTGATCGATGGTCTGAATTGTCATTTCGTTTAGGAGATTCCTTTCAGAGAATTTCTAGGCTGGTCAGCTAAATTTAGCTGTAAAAAACTAGCACTAAAAGCGAGATCCTTCAGATGGCGAGGATGCAGACTTCCCGAATGAAGGCTTGGAGTGATTATTAAAGAACCATCCACCCAACCCAACCCCACCCTTCGTTCTGAGCAACGCTTCAAAAGTGATGCCAATATGGCGCAAGGCTTGGTTTTATAGCAGAGCGCAAAAGTGTGCTGGCCCGTGGTTGAGTTCCACTAAAACATCTTTTGTTCGTGATTTTTGTAGCTGAAATTCGGAGACAAATATGTGTCAACAAAATTATCTGACAAAATCATTTGTTGTTATGGAACCCAGCAACAAACGTATATATGTTGATAAATTATCATCTATTCATATAATCTAATTAAATTATCAAAGTCTGTGGAAGTCAAACTCTGAAGGATCTCGTTTTCAGTGCTACTTTGTTTCAAAAAATTAAAGTCCTCCTTAAAGTTCTCTGAAAGGAACCTTCTAAACGAAATAAAATAATCAGAGCAGTTTTTCTTCTCAATGAGACGACCTTTGTAGAATTTTAAAAAATTGGAATCACCTCCCTATAAAAATTTTGCTTGCAAAAAATTTTTCATTTTTGCAAAAGTTGTGTTTCAGGGGCAAAATTTTTGCCTGAATCGGGTTTTTTGAGCATTTCATTAAAGCTCAAAATTTCTTTTTTGATCTAACAAAAAATCGACAATTTCTAAAATTTTTTCTTGAAAAAACGGCTCCTCAAGAAACTTCTGAGAAACTAGATCTACTCTGGCTCTAATCAAGATATCATAACTTCGTACTCACTAGACGATTTAAAACAAAATAAGTGAACATAACGTTTTAGTCGCCTGTATCATATTCCTGCAGGTTCACAGATATTAAAACAAAAAAAAATACATCTGGGTACACATAGAAATCAGTCATTTTATTTTATTTGAAACTTCATTTTGGATTACCTTTTCAACAAAATTGAGCAAATTATTCTATGCAATTTTTCTCAAAAAAAACCTTTCAAAAAGAAGAAAACATTTTTCCTTTTTCCCTGAAAATTTACTTTAGATCAAATGTGGATTTAGGGAATTGGATCCTTTCACCAATCAAAGATCCTTTTGTTTTAGGATATCTGTTGCTGGCCGATCAACCCAAAACTTGTTTCTAAAGTCGCCTTTGGTGCCAATATATAATAATTTAAAAGAGGAGCGCGCAGCAAAAAAGAAACCAGTTTTTTGCCAAAGTTTCCAACAATTTCCCAAAACTGTTTTATTTTCAAAAAATTGCCTGCGGCGCAAACTTTGGTCGAAACAGGGTCCTTATAGTGTTTGGGGAGTGCTAAGAAAATCTAATTGTTCCACCTAAAAAATAAAAGTCAACAAAACTCTAAAAAAAACTTTTGAAATCTAACAACTTTTTTTAATCCAAATTGGTGTAACTTTTTCTGCGTGATGTGATAAAAGGATTTGACACAAAACTATAATTTGGCATATTCGACAATCATAGTAATATATGCAAGCCGGACAACAGTTTTTGAAGAAAATTGACTCCAAAAACAAAAAAACTGAAAAAATTCAAAGTTTCATTTCAATTTTTCTGCCAACGTTTTTTCAATTAGGCAAAAAATCAAAAATTTCAATATAATTTTTCTCGACACTAATTTTTTTTTGGAAATTTTACAATGTGGTTTGACTCACTACTGAAAGTGCTTTAATATGAGATATCACTCAACCCATTCCGTTGATTATTTGTGGTACCTGATTTTGCGTGGAAAATGCAGAAAAAAAACAAGAAGAACAAGGATAGCTGGTTAATGTGCAAATAGCGTAGAATGTTTCAACCACAGTCTTAGAAAAATACAAAAACCTTTTTCTACAAATTAGTGTAGTTTTTCCGCTAAATTTTTGAACACTTTAAATTTCGTTCGAATCATGATTGACAGGGCTCTTATCTGATATATCACTCGACCCATTCCGATAATTATTTTTGGCACCTAATTTTGCATGGAAAACAAAAAGAAGAAAACTAAAACACACCCGATTACAAAGTTCCTCACCATTTCCCAAACGGTTGGAACAAAAACTAAAATAAACACAGAGTACAAAGTCCGCCCCCCCCCCATTTTCAATGGTTGGAACAAAAATGCTCTCAGAAAAATCAATTTTTTTTTCGCAATTTCCGATGATCATTTTGAAGGGTGATTGAGTTAGGTTAAAATTGAAAAACCGAGATTTAAATATAAACAAAATAAAGCGTTCTAGTTTTCTACGTAAAGCATTCGAAGCCAGTTTCTTTTGAGACGAAAACAATCAAAAGGTTTTCTGAGTGTTTTTCAATTTGTATTATTTTTTTGTATTCAGTTAGAAAACTAAGAAAAAAATTAACTAGAAAAAAAAACAATGCAAATTGAAAAACTCAAAAAAATGAAAAAATACAAAAAACGACTGTTTATCGGAATTTTTGAGCCATTTATGCAGAAACTAGTTTCTTCCGTTTCTTATGATTTCATTGCTTTTTGATTGCGGTCAGTTGTAATAAAATTATCATAATTGATCCAAAAGTTCTCGAATAACGTTTTCTTGCCAATTTTGAAAACAAGGAAAACTCGTAGGGATTTAAGAGTGACATTTTAAATCCTATTGGTAGTGATTCCGATTGTTAAAAAAATAAAAACAAAAAGTGGTCTGAGTGACAAGAAAGTTTGTTCTGCGTTCTTCAGATTTCAGACTAAATTGGAAGAGTTTTTCCATGAAGCATACCTTCAACTAGATTTTCACCGCTTGGTTTCAACATTTTTTCTTCTGCACTTACCGCTCTAACCATTTGCTTTTCCGACTTAATTAGGTCTCATTTTCTGCAAAAAAAAACAGCAAAAAATTATCGACAACAAAAATCGCGGAACAAAATTTCTGTATTTTTGAATTTTTTTTATCTAACCAATTTCGTATATCATTTTGTGCTAGTCGTCCACCAACAAACTATTTCTGTTTCTAGTATAAAAACAGAAGAAGAATTCTTTTTGTCCGGGATAATCAAAAGTATCAGGGCAAGTACGGGCCATCAAGATTTAGTAATAGTTATGCAGTAAACTTGGTTCTGTGATGACTGACGATCGTTTATGCGACTACTTTGATTAAATATGATTTTGATGAAGTCTTAGACAAAGGATCATCCTATTTAGGCCCCAATGATGTTGGTCTGTCCACATCACAGCAAACTACCCAGACTTCAATCGAATTGAATTTGGCCACTCAAGATTCCGGATATGGACTGGACTACATTCTTTACCGTGACGATGTCGGGGTGAAAACTTTTTCGTACCCCCTCTACTCTGGCTTGGACGAACCTTGGACTGACACAGGTGAAACGTCGGGAAAAATATCCATAGTTTAATACGTGAAAATTCTAAAATGAACGTATTATAATGTTTGTTTTTGGTTCTTGGTAAGCCAATGGCAAGAGTTTTTGCACAGATTTGAGGTTTTTTAAATAATTTTTTACCAAAAAATTGAGATTTTTTTCTAAAAACTTCAAAAAACTACAAGCTTTGATCTAATTCGATCTATGACTTGTTTTATATGGTGTTATTACAACTTAACGCCATGCTGAATCTACTGAAAACCATCACGTATCTTGATACATAGGTTCTTCCAAGCCCCCCTTCCCCGGCTATAAAGCAAATTGCATAAAAATAAAATTATTATAAACATGCCCTTCTTTACCCAAGTGTTTAACTACAAAACATTTTCAGACTTGTCTCCGGGAATTAAATACAAGTTCCAGTTGAAAGCTGAAGATTCGTTCAGTGGAATAACTGTGATGTCAGATTATGTCATTGTCTGCACTAACCCACCCGACCCGATCCAATTGGTATGCAGCTTGAATGCTGAAACAATGATGGCCGAGATCAATTGGGAAATTCCTCAGGGGAATTACGGAGCCAATCTTGAATCTCAAATCAGCAAGGATGTCAATAATCAGCGTAAATATTTTTTTATTGAAAATCGGTCTTTAACAGTGTCGATAAGTCGTGAAGACTGTTCTTATTACACTAACCGGCTCAATTTACGCGATTTATGTCGCGAACGAAATTTATTGAAGAAATAAACATCGTGCAACCAAAAATCCTCAATTACGCACAAAGTTTAATGAGCGCACAGTCGCAACGTAAGTCACGCTAAGTCGGATCATGAAACGCGCAACGGAGAGTTATGGGTCTCGCAAAAAAACAACAGGAACTGTGCAAAGTCGTGCCATAAGTCGCTTAAAGTCGCATTTAAGTATGAACTTCACAAAACACCAAATAATATATCAAAAATATATTTAAAAATCTCAATTTTTTTAAAACATTTTTGATTTAAAATTTTAAGCATCCATCAGTGATTTTTGAGAATAATAAGAGGAGTTGCTTACCGCAATCTGAAAGTTTTAACAGAATCTTATTGAAATTTAAGGGTTACCGCGGTAGGAATTAATGCAATTACTACAATTTTTTTATGAATCAATTTTAAGTGGATATTTTAATGCAAACTTGAAGAAAACTCCAAGGAGTAGTTATGACAGATTTTAAAAACAAGTTTTTACCAAAAAAAATCACAAAAAATTGCGCCAATAGTTGTACCATGAAGACAGATATTGATACTTTTATGTAGAGCAGTTCAGATCACTTGCTCTCGGCCGATATAAAAATTAGTTTAATTTCTAAGTAAGTATTTTTTTTTCATAATGATTCTTGAATCTGGATATTTGGTTTAGTTTTTGTTTCAGCTTAAATAGAAACAAAGTAGATGGGGTCACACGATGTTTCAAATAAACTCTCACACACTAAGTTACATTTTCAGCCAATCTCCTTACGCTGAAAAGCTGAAAATATTAAAAGTACTCGAAACTTAATAACTAAGATTTGCACGAAAAGGGGGTTTAAGCCATCGAACGATGAAAAAACTTTAGGCATAAAAACATAAATACTTTTTTAAACTGTTATAACTAAAATGAATTAATTAAACCAAGCGCAATTTCATACCCTGGTGAATAGTTCATTTTTGTTGTTTTTATTTAAAAAAAATGGATAACTTCATTTTCGTTTTTTAAAAAAAATGGAAAAAATGATGGTTTAACAAACAAAAATTTTTCAGAAAAATCTAAATCTTAGATAACATAAAATTTACAGGCTGGTGATAGCCAATTTTGGTAATTCAAGACAAGTTTTGGAGCATCTGAACGATGGACCAGACCATAAAAAAAGTTAGAGCATTTCTACTTTGAGAAGAGATTTTTTCGTCTTGCACTTCTGGATGTGTTATTCTTGATTTGAGATAAAGAATAAGCAAACTTTTTCCGTCTGTTACCTACGCAATGGCGCACTTTGATCACAATAGAACATACTTCGGCTAAAGGTGCTCATGTTTTTTCGTGTTCAATAACAAACTGCAGATCTATATATGTACACCCAGGGGCGGATTTAGGGGGCGGGGGCGGGGGCGGACGCTTTTTCCCTTCAGGGATTCGACACCCTGCCGACCCAAAGGGTCCCCCTTTTGGTACTTTTTAACAAATCTACTTTTGGCCAACCGACCCTAAAATTTTTCTAAAGGCGCCTTAGGCGCCAATATTTACTAATTTTGAGGGGGGAGCGCGCGCCGAAAAAACGCAATTTTTTGGTCAAAATTTTCCAAAAAAGGCCTAAAAACGCCTTTTTTGACTGTTTTTTTTTCAAAAATTTGCCTGCGGCGCAGACAATTTTGCCAAAATAGGGGCAAAACAGTGCTTTGCGAGAGCTCAAAAAAAATAATTTTAATCGACAAAAAAAAGGTCGTTAAAATTTTCGATTTCTTTTTGAAAATCCGCCCCCCCCTCGAGAAAATCCTAGATCCGCCCCTGTATACACCGCATAATGTTGAGAATTGCACGTATCGTTAGGTCAAAATGAATTTAATACATGAGTTATTCACAATTGAGCTTTGCATTTTTACACTGTTTCACAGGCAATGGTTGGTTAATTTTTTTGCGTTGTCTGACTGAATTTAACCAAAATCCAATAGTATTTACGCGAACACTTTTTCTTCTTAGGAAAACTTAAGAACAACACGTATATACAGTTTTGAGTCGAGGATTCTGCCAAAAACAGCCAGAAAAATAGTAAAAATTATTAACGACGAGCAAAGACGGCATTTTAACAACAATTTTGCATGCATCTATATATGTACGTATGTATGTATGTATGTATGTATGTATGTATGTATGTATGTATGTATGTATGTATGTATGTATGTATGTATGTATGTATGTATGTATGTAAAAGCTATAAAAGCTACAAAAAATAACTCAACTAGATAAATTAAAAATGAAAATTAAACAAAACCATAGGTTTCCATTCTGGCTTGAAATATCTATCATCTTAGATTCCACACTTGAGTTTAAATCCTTCACAAAAAAGAAGACAATAATAACCCAAAAAGGCTTCTAACTCCTAAAATACTCATTATCTGGGCTATCATTTGGTTTTTTCTTATTTCTTTTTCAAAAAAGCCTTCGAATTGAAGATAGCGGTGTGCTCTGAATATTAACAAAATATTATCAAAATTTTATCAACATGAATGAGACGATATTAAGCAGGTTATTTAAATAGAAAAACTAATGAAAAATTGAATCGTTTATAGGAGAGAAATTTGCCGGGACAAAAGTGTAGAAGAATTCTTCAACTAGATTAATTCCGCATGAAACGTGAAAGTAATTGTTCCGACTTTCTTTCATAAAGAAAGTACCGGAATAATTGGGCTCGGGTGGTTTTTTTCTTCAGACTAATTTCGACGTTTTAACTAGCCGTTTTTGACGTTATTTCTTATATATCATTCAAAACATTTTGTTGTCTTGAGCTTAATTTCAATTTTAAAAAATATTTCACCTGAGTTTTTTTTCATAACGTTATGGGGGTTTAAAGGTTTCCATTCTTGACACTTTGGAACAATTAACGGGTGATATATTTTGCGCTATTACGCGTAAGCGGAAATTTAATCCGTCTTAGATATCGTTCCAAATTGGTTGAAGGAAGTTTATCACTTTGTACTTTATATGGAGTGCTGGGGGATTGTTTTCACAAAAAACCTTAAATTAAAAAAAAATCATTTTGTTTTATTATATTTAAATTTTTCATCTTTGATACGAGCAGTCTTGTTCTATTTTGTTCTATGCCCGTTTCCCTCTTCAAGGTTTCGACCCCCCGCCGACCCAAAGAGTCCCCCTTTGTACTATTATGAGATATCCAAAATTTTTCTAAAGGCGTCTACGGTGCCAATGTATACTAATTTTTTTGGGGGAGGGGGGGGGGGGGAGTGCGCGCCCGAAAAAACGCAGTTTTTTGGTCAAAATTATCCAAAGTGCCTAAAACGCCTTCTTTGGCCTGTTTTTTTTTCAAAATTTTGCCTGCGGCGCATAAAACTGGGCCAAAACAGGGTCTTTTTAATGCTTTGAGAGAGCTCTGAAAATCAATTTGGTCAACCTAAAAAAAGTCGAGCTAATTTTCGAAAATTTTTGAAAACCCCCCTCGAGAAAACTCTATATCCCTCCCTGCATAGGAGGTTTCTTTTTCTTTCCCCACCACCTGCAAAATTTAACAAGTAAAACATTTGTTCACATTGTTCTATTGTTAAGAGAAAACAAAACCGACTTATGGACTCATCACATCATGAAAAACATATTTGGTGTTCATAATTGACCTTGTAAAACCACTCGTTAAAAATGATGCCCATGTGAGGTGGGGGACGGAGGTAAAAAGAGCCATGATAAGTATTTAACTTCCAATTCTCATCCACTTCCGCCCCTTCTGAGACCGTCAAAACTTCAGGTCGGTTTGGTTTGATGTTTATTTTAGCAATCCACGTAGCCGGTGGAACTGCATACAGCTGGCCTGCGTCCCTGGACCCCAGTGCCAGTCACTCATTTTCAGCCCGGCTTTTCTTCACTTGCCCAACTGGTGATGCAGGTGCGAAATATAGTAACTGGGTGTCTGTATCAGTGGAGGCTGCTACGCCTGTCTTGTCCGTCGTACTTCTGAATCAATCGACCGTTTCAATCAATCTACAGCACTTTCAAAACTACAGAAACATCAGGTTTGAAACAATCACTAAACACAGGGGCCGATTTAGGGGGGAGGGGGAGTGCTGGGGAAGGGGGGGGAGAGCGGACGCTTTCGCCCTCTTCTCAGGGATTCGACCCCTGCCGACCCAAAGGGTCCCCCTTTGTACTATTTTGAGATATCCACCTTTTGCTATCTGACCTGGAAATTTTTCTAAAGGCGCCTTTGGCTCCAAACTATACTAACTTTGAGGGGGGAGCGCGCGCCGAAAAAAAAAACGCAAATTTAATATTAATACTCCAAAAAGTATTACAAAAAACCTCTTTCTTGGCTTGTTTTTTTTTCAAAATTTTGCCTGCGGCGTAGAAAGTTTGGCCAAAACAGGATCTTTTTACTGCCTTGGGAGAGCTCGGAAAATCAATTTGGGCGACCTAAAAAAATGGTCGACAAAATTTTTGAAATTTTTCGAAAATGCGCCATCCTAGATCCGACCCTGACTAAACATATACCTCAGAAATTTGAAAATTGAGTAGTTTGATAAGTGAAAATGTGCATGTTAGACACCTGATTTATAAAATTGTTCGGCGGCTGTGGAAAAAAAACAGAAGTTGTAGCCAAACAAATCAAGCTCTGGCAGCTGGTGGTTGGACTAGAAATAGCTGAATACGGAAAATCAGGTGATATATGACAAGAGGTACAAGATTCAGATTAATTCTTGAATCATTTTTTGTTACTTTGAACAGTAATTATAATCTATTTCAGAAGCCAAAAAGCGTGTAAAGTATGATTTTTTGAATAACAATTCTTCTGGCAGAGTAATATGTTATTACAAATAAACCTTTATAGCATCAACTGTTTATGCTATTAAGATGGTTTTTTCAAAGCATAACTGCCTGATGAAAAGTCATCAAAAAAATCAAGTCATTTTACTTCTTTTGCCAAAAAACTTGGCTTTTAAATTAAGTTATACATATTGTTCAATGTAACAAAAAGTGATTCAAGTATTTATTTTGAATCTTGAACCACTTGTAAAATATCACCTGATTTTTCATATTGAAATGAAATGGCTATAATGAAATGCACTATAGTTCGTAATTTTGATACATACACTACATACAACTACTCAAACATTTCTCAAAATTACCACCTTTTGTAACATTCATTTTTGGGATATTTTCAAGCAGTTTACCTCTAAAAATCCATTCCTTCCCTTTAATTTATCTATCTTGTTTAAAGTATGAAATGATTGGTATTTCAGGCTGTTCATAGATGGTATTATGAGAGATCCTCAACCATCTGTTTTTCCTTTGAAAATTAGTGGCTTGGAAGCCAACAGAATCTACGTTTTTGAAGCGCAGGCAACTCAGTTTTCACAAGACGTCCAGAGCAACTCTGTTTCGTTGCAGACTCCATATGTAGGTGAGCGAACTTAATCATATTCAGAGAACTGAGTTGGAAAGTATTGGTAACCTTGATTTGCCAACAATTCGAACTAATTAATTTTTCTGGGCCTAAACAGGCATATGAACAGAGATTAAATCGAAGAACCACAAAATTTTACAAAAGTATACTAAGTTATGTTATTTACAAAAACCATTTCCTGGAGAATTAATCATAAATTAGATTAAAAAAGTCCTTTTTAGAGCAATTTGTGTGTCCTGCTCCGTCGCAGCCGGAAAGAGTCAGTTTCGAGCCAATTGGCAGCAATGGTATCAAACTCAATTGGCTGGCAGCACCAGTTCCCACTTACGAAGACAGAAGTCCTGATTCGGAAGTATTCTACGAAGTCAAGATCTCCGGAGGTCGAACAGGTGAGGAAAATTTGGTTTTCTACTTCTCAATTTTTACTTTATTTTTAACGTTCAAAGCAGTTTTTTATCATAAAAGCAAATGTAATTGTATTATAGAGTCGTAGTTTCAAAAGGGTAAGTCATGTGTGTCAAGGGGTTTGAGTTCTTGGTGGAGGGTCGTTCAACCTACCCCTACGTCGGCCCTGAATAGCTGTATAGAGGCGCTTCGACTCGAATGCTTTATTCTAATAATGTTCATCAAATCGAAATACCTACATACATAAATACAGAATGGAATTGGGGGTGTAGCGAACGGTTATCACTGGACCACCTTTTGGTTCGATTAACGTTTGATACTTTAAAAAATAAAACACAATTATTAATTGCTCTAAATTTGATATCAGCGCGAATGTTGTGATAAACTTAAACTTATAAACTTATTAAATAGATTCCTCTTCCCTCGTTCAAACTGTGTGTTTTCAGAAAAGTTTTAGCTAGGAACAAGAACACCTTATTCGAAACGAAAAATTCCCGTCCGTTCCTAGCCGTGGATGGATGAAAACCAATGAGATTTCACATATTCAAGAAATCGTCGTCGCAACACTTGTTGATCGGAGACTCACAATTGAAAAATCTAACTTTCCCAAATTTCAATATCCTCAGCCTTCCTGGTGCAGGTATCGCGGATGTTCTAAACTTCTTGCCCCGCAAGAACGAATACGATATTATAGCTCTATTCATTGGTGCGAACGAATTGTTTACGAAAGACAAAAAAGACTCAACGAGAACACCCGAAGACGTTGCTGAAGAATTATCCCAACTTGGCCTACGGTTGACAGAACGTTGCAATAAAATTTTCTTTATCGCTCTACCACCCAGACTCGGAAGACCAGCCCGAACGGAACGTGTAAACGATATTCTTCGCAAAAAGAAAGAACTCTGGCGATACCGCGGTATATCGAAAGGAATAACCACCAAAACTGTTCTATCTTCCGACGAAGTGCATTTAACAACAGCATCGCTTGCGAGTCTCCAAACGATTTTGAAAAAGAAAATCATCTACAAGAAGTTCTGTGTAAAAACTGATAGCGAGGGCTACTCGAATATATACCACTGCGGCAACAACACTTGTCGGTGTCATCATTTTCACAGAGACTGAATTTTCTATTGATACCCTTTAGGTATCGCCAGATTTGATGTCTTTGTGAATTCACATCTATAAAAAAAACCGTTTTCTCCCGCTAGTCATCAAGTACCCTTAAGGTCCCAAACAACTATTTTCATAACCCTAACACTGATACTTCAGTCCTCAATCGGCGCCCTTTAGGTACCACCCTGAGGACTCGAGTACACTACCTAAACCTTCATCCCCCAAACACAGTTTCCACAGAGATAAGAGGACGTAAACATAAATAAAACTGAGAATGTCAAAGGACAAAAAACCTTGCAAAAGCCTGTAATTGCTCTATGCACCTTGAAGTTGTCTGCACTGGCCTGTCGACCGTTGCACTCAACGGAATACTGGAACTTGGTAACAACGCACTACTGATATGCAATACCTGTTTGTCCAACGGAAAAAGAGATCAAGTAATCAGAAGCACAGCATCACATGACAAAAGTGAAAACATCAAAAAAATTGAAGAAGAAATTTCAAAACTAAGTAAAGTAGTAGCCGAAGTCTCGACAAAAATGGAAAATATTAAAGATCCCATCCAAAGCTTGCCAATAGCAGAACAGGGTAAAACCTGGTCACAAGTAGCGGCGCAAAACATAATCAAATCCCTGAGCAAAGGATTGAGAATAAGAGGGGTCCCCGAGATCAAGGAAAGAGATGGAAGAAAAAGACTTGACCATGACTATGATGAGGTAAATAAAATCATGAAATTCTTAAACCTCGAATGCAATATCACTGATCTCAAGCGTGTGGGAAAGTTCAGCGAAGAACGAGCAAACCACAGAACTATACTGGTACGAGTAACCTGTCCAAGAGAAATAGACTTGATACTATCATCAACACCGGCCCTCAAAAATTATGACAAAAAATGTCTTCATAAGTAAGGAACTCTCAGTCGAAGAAATGAAACTGGAAAACGCAATCCTGAGAGAACGTAGAAATCTCATCAGCAGTGGTAAAAACCCCAAAAATCTTCGAATCAGAAACCTAGAACTGCATGAAAAAGTAGACGCCACCTGGACAAAAGTTACAATTAAACCGGAGGCAAACAGCACAATTCAGACTAGAATTGACAACTGACTAGAATCGCTGAATGTTATGTCATTCAATACACGAAGTATACTGGATATAAATAGACGTATGAAACTTAGCAATATAATACTATCGAACGATTTTGACATCATTTGCTTAAGCGAAACTTGGTTAACTGAAAATATCCCTGACAACGCGCTTTTTCTGCCTGCACACATAATAACTAGATGTGATAGACCTACCAACTCAACAAAATCGAAACACGGGGGCGTGCTTATTGCTGTGAAGCAATCCCTAGCTTTCACAAAACTTGAAATACACACTACGGACTGCGTTGGACTCCTCCTTAACACTCCGACACCTCTCATCCTATGCTGTATCTACAGTGCCCCGAACGAAAGCAAATATAAGCTATCCACAGATGACTTCAACAAACTATTGAATATGCTAACTGACTACTCAAATGAATTTCAATGCCCAAATATTTTATTGGTTGGTGACATCAACTTCGCTAATACGCATTGGCAAACCTTGCAATCAACCCAAAAACACGAACAATTAGTACTGCAGACTTTTACGGATATGAACTTTCAACAGTTTATCGAACCCCCTCATGACCAATTAGATATTGTCCTTTGCAACAACCCCGACATTATTTTAAACACCACGATAGACAACCATATGAAAAAACACTTCTCACACCAAGAAAGAGAATTATCAGACCACAACCCTTTTCTAATCACGATATCATCTCTTACACACAATGACGAAAAAGCCACTCCCATACAACACGGATCCGACTTTCTGGACTTTGGTAACTTCTCATTAAACAACGTCGATTGGATTACTTTAAACAAATACATTTTGGAACACCCATTTTAACCGTACTGCTACTCTAACATTGACCACTTAATCAACTCATGGTACCTCTGGCTATATATAGCACTAGAAAAACACATGAAAAAACAGACCAAACACCGTATGAACCTAGCACCTTGGATCACACCTGAAACCTCCAATATTATCAAAAGACTCAACACAGCATCATAAAAAGTAGCCTTTAAAAATACTCATACTAATAACCGCAATCTTGAAAGACTTAAAAACCTTGTAGATCATTTATCCGAATTAGATCAGAAAAATTTCGAAGAATCAACTTTCAAGGGCAGAAATTTCTCAAAGCTCCAAAAATACTTTAAAAGCATACGAAAAAACTCAAGTACTCCAAAAACAATGTACTGGAATGAAAAAACCGAATCAACAGAGCACGGTAAAGCTAATCTTCTAAACAATTACTTCGTAAGCGTTTTTAACATTAAACAGAATGAAAACATTTTACCAATAGCTGAATTACCTGGCTCAATCAAATGCTTCAATTTCTCTGAAAATGAGATATACGACATCCTTAAAACATTAAACCTCCAAAAAGCAAGAGGACCAGATAGACTCGGTAACACAGTCCTAAACAATTTAGCAGATAGCATAACTTCATCTCTAAAACTGATTTATAACACCATCACCAACAAAGCAACATTTCCAACGATCTGGAAACTTAGCCAAATCATCCCAACTTTTAAAAAGGGAAACAAGCAATCGGTCACAAACTACAGGCCCATCAGCCTGCTAACTGCAGTATCCAAAGTCTTAGAGAAACTGATCTTCCTTAAAATCTCACCAAAGATCTTCTCGAAAATCCATGAAAGCTAATTTGGCTTCTGTCCTAAACGATCGACAACTCTGCAAATGCTCCAATTCCTCGACAAAATCTATGATGACTTTGATAACCCTAATATCAAGTCTCTACAGGCAATATACTTAGACTTCGAAAAGGCTTTCGACAAAGTTCCTCACGACTTGTGCATAAATAAACTCAATAAATTTGGCATATCAGGAAACGCACTTAAACTTTTAGCAAACTACTTAACCAACAGAAAACAGCAAGTACGAATAGGTGCGGCAGTTTCCAGCCATCTTGAAGTTAGTAGCGGCGTACCTCAAGGCTCACTGTTAGGGCCAGTATTCTTCTTGAAATTAAAAATTATTGAAGATGTCCAAAGAAAAGCTACACGTTGGATACTGTCATGTAACAACATCAACAATAAAGACAGACTGATTAGATTAAACCTGCTTCCACTGTCTCTCTACCACGAAATGCACGACATTCTCTTGCTTCATAAAATAATAAACGACCAATACAACTTCCATTGGAGACAATTTGTTCAGTTCAAAGAATCTATAGCCCCAACAAGAAGATCAACGAAAAATAACTTAGCGCATAAAAAATATCATTACGAAAAATCGAAAAGCAATTTCTGGCGCAGAACACCTATACTAGCAAACAAAATTTTACAGACTCAGGAAGAAGAAGACCTGTTTGCGATGAAATACGAAAGACTCAAATCAAGCCTCAAAAACGTTTTCTGGATTTATTTCATCAGTAAATATGAGGAAAGTGTCCCATGCACATGGAGAATAAACTGCTGCAATAGCTGTATAAACTCAAAGAAACTATAAAACTCAGTTTAAAACTCCCAACGCGGGGCATTTTAGCCCCATGGCTTTATGTCTAAATCCTTGTTTATTATGATTATTATTATTATTATTATTCGCGCTGATATCAAATTTAGAGTCAATCTAAAAATTATTGGTATACCGATAATTTTTAGATTGACTCTAACTTTGATTCAAGCTCGAATGGTACCAATAACTGGAATTGACAAATTTCAGCTAAAAAACGTCTTGTAATATGTTAAATATAGTTTTGCTTTTTGTCTAGCTTTTTTGCTCAATTACTTACGAAGTAATGTGGACCTTT